TTTCTGATTTCATTTTTTCCAGATCCTCTTTTGTTGCCAGTTCAGTGGGTCCAGGTGGTTGAGTATCAGAGTGTTCCATCTCATTTCCCTTTGGGGTTGCTGTAGGTGATCTGGAAGTCTGGTTTTGAGACTTATTTACGTGTTTTCTCATTTCGACTGGGGCAGGGGACTGTCAGCGCCTGCATGGATTACCTCTTCTGAGCTGGGTGAGATGGGGGCAGGGGCCGGGAGCATTGGTAGGAATGTTGACCCAAAAGCCCTTTCCTGTGGGCTGGGAGCAGCGGGAGGGATGGTGACCGGGAAGCCCATTCCTCTGGACCAGGAGCAGTGGGACGATGGCTCAGAAGCCCCTACCTCTGGGCCAGGAACAGTGGGACTCAGTACCTTGGTCTGGTGTTCTGGTGTTCTCTGCGTCTTTGTAGTGTGGAATCAGGTGGCTGCCTGTCTGCAGCGGTGTGATCTGGTGTTTTCTGTGTGACTCATGACCTCGGTAGGGCGTGCACAGACCTGCCTGTCTGCAGAGGCCTGATTCGGCCTGTGTTCCGCGCGACTGGGGCCCTCGGTAGGGCCTGGGCAGACCTGCCTGTCTGCAGTGGGGTGATTCAGAGTGTTTTGTGCTACTCAGTACCTGTCTGTCTGCAGTGGGCTGATAAGGCGTGTGTTCCGCGGGACTGGGGACCTTGGTAGGGTCAGTTAATCTTTTCGTAATGATCAAATTCACCAGATACTTTTCCTGAAATACTTGACCTCTCTGGTATTTCATCACACTTTTCTGAAATTCTTTCTGCTATTTATTTCATGTTCCTGAAGCTTGTCCTGTGGTGTTAAAAATGTTGTGCTAAAAAAGCTTTTTTCTATTTCTCTGACCACCCTTCTAAGTCTTTATGTAGCTATTCTTCATTTTTATACCATTTAAATGTTTATGTACTTCTTTTTTCTCTTTTTTATTATATGTACCTTCCTTGGGAAACCTCATCCATTCTCATTGATTTTAATCTATTATTTACTTGTTTATGATTTCCAAGTCTATTTATTCAGATCAGACCTCTCTCCTGAGCTCCAAACCCTGAAAATCAAGTGTCTGAAATAGTTCCACCTTAATGTTCCACATATTTTCAATATATCCCAGACTGAATTTATCCACCTTCCTCACCATCAAATTTGCTTTCCCATGTGCCATAGGCTGGACTTTCTAAAGGCTGAGCCCAAGATGGAAATTCCTGTTCAAATTACTTATTAAGTGACTAGTCTCAATGGAAAAGAGTAAGAGAAGCAAAATAGGGCAGAGATAAAAGCTAAGAAATATTGGATTCCAGCTGGAGACTAACTATGGCATGATCTCATAAGGAAATGATGGAGCACGCATTGAACCATGAGTTCCACCTTGAGGTTAAGAAGTTAAGCTTTTGTACTGTCACCAGCCAATCACTGCCTGAGGTCTATGAGTAGGGGTTAGCCTCATCGGTAAGGTGGTTCATCTTTGGACTGGAGCCTAGGACAGTTTTCCTGAGAGTAGGCTAACTCTTATCAGGCAACATTCATAGCAGCTGAGGAATGTATATTAAAAGGGGTATGGTTGGGGCACCAACACATCCACTACTATACTGTCCCTGAATCCCCTCTATTTATATATAGCATCACCATCTACTCAGGAATCCAAGTGGAAGTCTGAAAGTGACTATAAAGCTGTTTTTCCCTCTTACCTCCCATTTAATAAAAATAATAGATAACAATTAGTCAGTGCCTATAATGTAAATTTCAAATTCCATAGCATGTTTCTCAAAGCCCCACAAGATGAGGCTCATGTCTATTTCTCTGGCTTTGTATTTTATATTCTTACTATTGCACTCTTTTCTGGGCATGCCAAACCTGTTGAAGTTTCCTCAATAAGACACACTATCACTATCAGTGCCTTCATCATGTCACTTTCACTTTGCCAACTCTTTATTGTCTTTCAGTACAGTCTAGATATTACTTCCTTAAGAAAATTTTCTCTGACCCCCTTGGATGAACTAGATTTTTAACATCTGAGCTCTCTTGGCATCTCATGTCCTATTCCTTCAGAACACATTTGATGGTGAAATAAAATTGTCAGATTGTTTGACTATTGCCTCTCATTGAATGTGAGCTCTTTCAGGACAGTGATTGAATCTTATTTATTTCTGTTTCTCTAGCATGTAATTCCATGTTTTGGACAATGCGAGCACATACTATATGATTCTAACATTAGTGATAAAAAATGAATAGGTAGGTACAAAAGGAAAATGTGATCAAAATTCCAGAGGTTTATTCTGGCACAAGTCTTGGAAGCTCTACCCTACAAGAATTGTATAGGGAAATTATTTTAATAGTTTCTGAGTAGACAAATATTCATAGAAAGACAACCTATTCTACCTTTTACTGTCCTGGCTCTCTTTATTCCTCTTGGGTTACTGATCTGCATTCCTGATAGTCCCAAAGGAGTCAGAAAGAACACCCAAGCTCCAGTGATTACTTGTAAGTATGCTAAAAGAGATCCCTCACTGAAATTTCCCTTATTGATACTTGCATTCATTTTCCTATTGCTGTTATAACAAATTAGCACAAACTCAGTGGCTTAAAGCAACACCAATTTATTATCTCACAGTTCTATAAATCAGAACTCTAAACAGATTTAGCTAGGTGTTCTGGTTAGCATCTCACAAGTGTGAAATCAAGATGTCAGTTACACTGAGTCTTCATCTGGATGTTTGAGTAGGGTAACCCATTTCTTGGCTTGTTCAGTTTGTTGGGAGAAATTAGTTCAGTGCAGTTGTAGGACTGAGGTCCCCATTTCTTCACTGGCCATAAACTGAAGGTTGTTCGTGGTTTGCAGAGGCTGCATACATTTCTTTGCAATAGCCTTCTTCCTTCATTATCAAATGAGTAAGAGTACTTTGACTCCCTCTGTTGCTCTCCTCTTCTGCTTTTAAGGGCTTGTATAATAGATTATGCCTACCCTGTTAATCTCCTTTTTGCCTAGCACACTAACAGGAATATAGCAATTGGAAACCATGAGGGCCAAAATTTTGCCTAACACAGCCACCAATCAGAAGGATGAAGGAAAGGTAGTATGTCCTCAATTCTGATTCCTAGTTGAGAGAAGACAGCTGTGATACTTCTTTCCCTTCTGTTTCCAGATGAAAGACCTGCAGCATGAGAATATTAACCCTTTATTGGGCTTCTTCTATGATTCAGGGATGTTTGCTATTGTGACAGAATTCTGTTCCCGAAGGAGCCTAGAAGACATACATCAGTATGGATATAATAATAAGGATGTGAAACTTGATTGGATGTTTAAATCATCACTCCTTCTGGATCTCATCAAGGTTAATGGAAATACTGAGCAAATATTGGAATCCCCCTGTGGACTAGAACTTTAATTTTTGGGGGGTGTTTTATGTTTCCTCAGATCAGTGTGATCACTTCACTCCTCCACCCTTCTTCCAAGGTCTGTCCCTCAACCTTTCTCATGGTCTTTTTGCCAATCTGTTATAAAAATCAGATGCAGAAAGTATTTGCCTGACCCTTTCTCAATTTGTTTTAAAAGTAGGAAAAATTTATTGGGAGAAAGAAAGCTTCTGCCTAAGAGAGACAGAAGGGCAACTGGAAAGTGGATTGCCCAGCCACCCCAAGTTTCAAAGATGTTTTATACAGCAAAGCCATGTGGTGAGGTGGGTACAAAGTGGGACAAAACTATAAGACCCAATGGAAATTTACAAGGTAAGCATGAAGTGGGACAAAACCATGACCAACCAATAAGATTACAAGTACAGTCACCTAGATGATATTGATTAAATGGGGATCAAATGGGAAGACAAATCACATATAAGGAATTTCCCATTTAGAATATCAATCACTGCTATCTATCTCTAAGGGAAGTAGTACTTCTTTTCCTTTTTATAATGCTAACCAGTGAATGTGCCTCAATTGCTCTCCATATTAGCTCCTTACTGTGTTGGCTCCTGGAGGGCTGGTCCCATCTAACTGCACACAGATATCTAATTAACTTACCTATTTGCAATATTCCCTCCTCTTAAGAAGTACCCCTAACTGCTGTGAGGGGAAAAGGCTGAAGACCTTTCTGGCTATTTCCAGCTAAAGAGGGTTGTAGTTGTCATCAGCAGTTAGAGTTACTCTAAAGAGAGTCTATCTAAAGGCCCTCAATAGGCACCAGGCATTGTCATCTTGATAGCCATATAGCTTTGAGTCTGGAGGAGACAAAGCCAAAGAAACAGTTAATACATGGAACAAATTATAAGGTCAGCAGGATTGCCATGAATATAACCAACAAGGGTTTCCACTGGGAGGAACAACAAGGAGGATAAGGAGAAGGTCCACAGGACTTCAGAATCCCAACATACAAGTCATATTGTATAGTATAGCAGTTATAAGCTGTTTACAAGGTTGATCTGGTGGATCCCAGTAAAAGAAGTCTAGCACATTTGTCATTGGTTCCATTTGTATGACTGCTTGGAGTTTAGCAGCCTCTAGGCAAGAATAAACAAAACTTTTAAGAAATTAGAGCATGTAAAATCTAAGCATGAGCACACTAGAATGAGAGGGGAGGTTGGGGAGAAATTCACACTTAGAAATTGAAATAGTGATTATAACCTGCTGGCTCTTAGATACTTTCATTGATAAAGGTTATCTATAACTCTGATACTTTGTCATAAATCTCTCTAGTTTTAGCTGGAAGAAGATAAGAGACAATTTGAAGAACAAATTTCACTAAGAAATATAAAACTCTAGCTGAGCTCTTATAGCTTCTACCATAGCTTTTCCTAATGGTCCATAACCATGGTCAGTTACTGGTGTAGCTGGGAATTGCCAGAAGGGGTCAGTGACTGAAGCTCCTTTTTATATCTAGCTTTATTACTATGACATTATTTTATACCTCTTTTGGTTATTCTTTTCTCTTGGGTGTTTAAGACCAAATTAAAGAGAGACCTTTGTCAAATCAGTATGAATTTCTTGCTATCTATCAAGGTCAGTTAAGTCTCCTCAGGCATTACTTTGGAACCATGCATAGAACCTTTCAGCTCCTCTGTCAGTGTCAGCCATCAGGATGGGCCATGGCCTTGCTTGACCATGTTCCTTTCAGTGAAAGCATGGGAGATCTTTCCTCTTTGTGACCCTCCTTTGGCACATGGTACATTTGTCCTCTGGTGCCCAGCAATCTCCCTGCTCAGGAGGTAGAGTGACTTACCAAAGATGTAAGATCCTGTAGGAAAGGATCCTTTGTGTCCTCTATCTTTGTTGACCTTAAGGGGCCAGGGCCAAAATATTGGCTGTCCTAATAATACAGTTATCTTTCTAGTTTTGGTCTCCAAACTTTAGTTGTTGAACACCCAGAAGAGAATATCAGTGACATAAATATTTCAGTAGGAGCAATGAGCTTAACTATTACAATAGTTAAAACATCAAACACTTTTGAAGTATAAAGCACAATTAGAGGGCTGTTATTTTACCAACCATGGTTGTTTTAGTAGTTGAATCCCTGCAGAATGTTAACAGACAACAGTTATATATTATAGAGAAATAAGATTAAGAGCTGCACATAGTATTTTAGCATGGCAATCATGATGACATTTGCTTTGTGACACTTACATGTCCATCTTAGTATGGAATAGTCTTTCAGTCAAACACCTCCATCTGGCCACAAGACATTAAATGACATAAAGAAAACTCTTATTTGTTATCCTTTAGTAGGATGTCATCTAAACAGAACATAAATATTTGCCTATAAATGTACCTTAGGAGTTCATAATATCTAGCCTCTAATTTTAGTGTGTGACATTGTTTCAACTGTTTGGTGACTGAACATCCCTAAGTGTGGTGACACATATAACATACATCACATGAGTTTTTAAGAAAACTGTTATTTGACTGGTTTTCTCATGCTGGCTTGACATGTACCTCTTATCACAAGTAGCTGGAGTCCAAGAGAAAGGCAGATATCCGAGTCAAAAAAGATCATTACCATAAACAATATCCTAGGTGATTTGTACACCCGGAGGGCATGAATGTATACAACATGAAATAACATGAGTATCAGTTACATGAAACCCTTTGTCCCTTAATTTCATTTTGTACCAAGAGCATTTTAAATAAAACCTTGTTTTCACAGATAACTTAGACCAATGTATACATATCACAATGATATGTTTAACGATGTATTTCCCACAAGGCTATGGAAATTATTGGGGTCCCCTTTATGAACAAAGGCTGGAATAAATTTTTTTTCAGGCAGCTGCTCCTTTATTTACCAAGGGGAGTCCTGTCCTGTAGTTTTCCTAAGCCCAAGAGTCTTTATTTAATTATTTTAACAAATTTTTAGATGACCTATGAGAGCCAGATCATAACAATTAACACATTATTTTTGACCAATGAAAGATTCCTGAGATATTATACATCTTAAAAAATTCAAAATGCGAAAAGAAAAAAGTTCAACCAAAACAGCTGTATGTGTTTTAACAAATTGAACAGATAGACAGACACACACTTAAGACAACTTGTTTATAAACAAGAGTGCACTCAGATGTATTTGGCCAAGTTGAATTATAATAACTTTTATAATTTTTAGATTTATAACTATAAAAAGACTAGTCAGAACTTTGTAGATTAATTAACAGAGATCTCCCGTAATAAGAATCAAAAGGAATAAAAATCTTCTACACCTGTGAAAGTAAAAATGGTTTTAAGATGGGCCCTAACCTGACAGTTTATCTGACTGGAATACCCAGCTACACAGGGTTCTCATGGTTGCTTTGATAGCCAGTTATTTGACAGCCACATGTAATTGTTCCCTCTAAAGGGACGGATCATTAAAGGTAATTTTAATTATCTCCAGTGGGGTCCGCTCAGGCCAGGTTTGCAGGAAGAAGAGACTAGGTGACACTCTTTGGAGCTAACTATGAATTCTATGCAGTGAGGGAAGAAGGTCTGGCAAAGATCCAACCTGCTGTGCTATAGATGTCTACCTATGACAGATTTTCCCACTTTGAAAACAAAACAGAACAAAGGAAAAGAATGCATCCCTGTCTATACCTCTTGTTCTCTGCCCAATCTAAGGCGCTCCTTAGACTTTATCTCATCCAGTGCCAGTGATGGCAGACAAGAGGTGCAAGGAAGTGGCCAGAGCCAGGTTAGCTGTTCTTACCATTCTCTAATTTTACCTGAAGGCTGAAAGATAAATCTGGAAAACTTTTATATTTATTTCTTGAGAGTTTCGGGTTTAAACCTAGACCAGTTTTCTATATGGCCCAGAGATAAATGAAGGTCAGCTTCCAGGGAGGGGAAACTCACCATTCTGGAAGCTTTGTCTTGAAATCCAGCAGCCACAGAAGAGGGAAGTACCTTGAATCAAACTGCGTTATTTCTCAGGAGCAGGGCAATGGAGAAGGGACAGAAGAGTGTCTTTAAGTATGGCACAAGAACTAAATCTTAACCATCTCAGGGGTAGAAGGACAATTAAGATGAGGAGCTTTACCAGAGTGGATCTGTAATACTTAGCAAAACATGTCTCCAGAGACAAAAGCTATGATTGACTCCCACTGAATTGCCACGCAGAAACATCAAACCAATAATCAAAGAACCCAAATGGCTGCTCTTTGCCTCTTGAAAGGGAACAAAAGTGTTCTCTCTCTCTCTCTCTCTCTCTCTCTCTCTATATATATATATATATATATATATATATATATAGTTTAGGGCTTACCTATTTAATGAATCTATAATGTCTAATTTATGACTGAAATACCCTACAGGCTGTAGAGCAGGTCCCTGATGTTGTAGAAACACTCCCAAAGGCATGTCTCACCTTTTAATAAGGTACAAACTGAAACAGTGTCCTGTAGTTAGGCACTTGGAAGTGCTTGTTTGAACTTCTGGAATGCGGTCTTGGAACCAGGTTCCCAGGTTAAAATATGGCTGTCTTTGGGGTTTTTCTATAAGCTGGTACATGAGCCACACAATATCATATCCTGCCATCTAAAGGTGACAAAAGCCTGTAATTTCCAGAAATCTCCTTAGCTGTTTTAGAGTCTTGGGCTGTGGAAAGGAAAGAACTGGTTTAATTCTTTCTTCCCCCAGTCTTTGGGTTCCCTTACATATTATAAGGCCTAAATGTTTTACCTCAAGGCTTCAAAGTTGTGCTTTAGATCTAGAAACATTATAACCCCTGTCTGTTAGAAAATTTAGCTAGAAAGCTCTTCTGAGGGGGCACATAACATTATACCATCTACATATTGCAAGACTGTGACTTGGGAAAAACTATAGTATTTCCTTTTATCAAATAAGGATCTAAGGATGGCCTCATCTTTTACCTGGTAAATAGTTGACAATTTAAAATAACTGAAGGGCTTAGTTCTTATCTTTCTTAGATCTTCAAGAGTACATGCCTGAAAATGTCTTCTATTTCATCTCCCATCTGATTGGTGGGCCAGTGGGGGTCTTGTATAGGAACTGCTTGTGTTCCAGTAGGAACCAGTTATTCCCTTGGCTGCCTGACATTTGAGCTTTCAAAATTAAGATATCTGTCTCTATATGTAGTAGCAGCTTGTAATACTACTTGTCTCTCATTAGAAATCTATGTTTAATTTAAGAGCAACATTACATCTTTGTAGTCTAGCCCATAGGTCTGAGTAAGTCCTCTAAAGACCTCAATGTTCATATCAGGGTCATCTGAAAACTTTTAAGTCTTATTTGATCTGTCTAAGATTACTGAGAGAAAAAGACACATGAACACAGGTAGTTCCATATATGCCATTTACTTCCTCAAGGGATATTGTCTTTGAGGGACCTCAACAACTTAGCTCAGGATGGATATAGCCTCATGGAGATTAATTATAGGTGGCCTAGAAATTCCACCCTCAGCCCCTGGTGGTTAGGGTAAGAAGTAGCCTTAGGCTTAGAGGTACTGAATGCCTTAAGGATGAGGTGTCTCTCATTTTTCTATGACCCACATTTATATTTGAACACAAACAAGAATTACTTCTTAATGTAAAGAAAATCTCAACATAAGATTATTTTGACCATTTTCTCTCTTTCACAGTGTAATTCTAATTGTGAGATAGCATCATAGTACTTTCCTCTGTGTACTTGGCTTTAGGAAGTAGGCACACCACATGCGGGTGTAGAAAAATACTAAATTGCTCCTTAATATATTCCAAGGAGTAAGAGGTTCAGATTTAGAGTCCCAATTTGAAAGAAGAGAAACAAATATGGTGTCCCATAAATCTCTGCTTGATTCCTGTGCCCCCTAGGGCATCCCCAGGGTGTCCCCCAAGGTTTATACCACTCCAGGGTAGGTAGCTTCCATCTGGAGAGAGGACCAGAAAATAAAACCCAACTGGACTATCTACCATTTACCAGCATGCAATCTTATCTTCCTCAGGTAACTCATATCCTTATTTCAGTAGGTACTCTTAAAGTGCAAGTTACAATTGACTTCAGCCATAACAATCATGTTTAGAGAAGGAAGCATTGCTAGCAAACCAAGAGATTTAAACCACTGCTTTCTAGTTCCTTGAAAGAGAGAGGGGAATAGGTCAACAGTCAAGTTAGGGCACTTTTCCTGCAGAAGAGATTACCTTCAGAGATGGTAAGTCAGAGATTCTGTCCTGGGGTCTAGGGCAGAGAAAGCTCTGAGAGATTTCTGTTGTCTATCCAGTCATTTAGGCAACTTTTATTAGCAAGAGAAGGGTACTCCTTTAAGGTCCATTTAAAATTCCCTAAGTATTTGAAACTCATAGATCTTTCTAGCAGCCACAATCTACAATAGTAAAGGCACCTTTATCAACTTCCTAGGCACACATGAAGGAAGAGAAAGGCTGACCAAAATAGTCCCATATTCTAGTTAGCATGTTAAAACACAAATGCAAGTTACTCATTGCTATTTTCCCTACTGTAAGACAAAACAGTTGTTGCAAGTTGCCTTTCTGGAAGGAGAAGTGGTCTGATTACAAGGCATTCTCAAATGAACTCCCAACAAGTTGGAGAAAAGTTTAAAGGGAGTTTTTAGCTCAGTAGCAGAGAGAAAAAGTGCAAATAATGCTCAAGCTGGTTAAACATCCAAAAATCACCATATAGCACTCTTATGAGTCCACAGTCAATGTTCCAAAGTCCACACCCTATTGAAAAAGGCATTTTTCTCCCCTACACACATAAATGAAGAACATGCCTAGGAGGGGCAGAGAAGGTTCAGGTAGTTCTTAATCTATCAAAGATTCATTTTCTACATTTGTCTAGAGGTCTTACTAGTGGTAGAGAAAGCAGTCCAAACCTGTAGCTCAACTCTTAACGGAGGCTTCAGAAAGGGCTCTGATGGCATTGTTTCAGATCACTCTGAGACAGAAGATATCTGGTGATCACTGACAGAGTTCCTCTTTCACCTCACTGAGGAGTCCAGATAGGGACAAGATGTAGACATTTTCTGCTGATTACCTGGACTAGCTATTGGGAGCTATATTCTTCTGAGGGACATTTTGGTATCCACCAGAGAGTAGCCCTGGCCATGACCCCTCAGTTGTCACCTCAGTTTCTACTAGTTCCACACAATCAGAGATCTGTCTCCAAAAGGAACCCATTTGCCTATCTGGTCAATGTTCCACCTGCCACTGGTGTCAATGGGAGTGGGGATTCACCAGAGGGCAACTGAAGAAACCTGTCCTCTGCTTTGAGACTGGCAGCTGCCCTAAAGGCAATTACTGGCTGGCAGAGTAACCACTGTTTGTCATTCTACAAGGGACAGATAAAAGCCTGAACTGTTTTTATCTGAGATGATTTCATAAGAGACCCATTTTACAACATTTTTAAGCAACTATGTCCAAATGCAACACATACAAAACAAAAACAAAATGGAATTTTAACAAAAGACAATGCATAAGAAAAACAAGAAATTTGCAAACATTTAAAACACACAACTTAAAACTAAGACACTTTTGAAACAAAAGCCAAAACAAAGGCCAGAATTTATATGAAACAAAACCCAGAATTTATGAAACAAATAGTGAGAGCCTATGAAACAAAAGTTACAATCTATGAAGCAAAAAGACCAAAGTTAGAACCTATGGAACACAAGTAAACTCTTACCTCTGACCAGTAATCTTGGTGGAAGACCTCCAAAATGATATAGGGGGAAGAGATGTAACTCCCAAACCTACTAGATATCCGAAACACTAGTTTGTGTTCTCTAAAATTGAAGAATGAATTCTAGGAACAATGGAGGTTAAAAGTAGGAAAAATTTATTGGGAGAAAGAAAGATTCTGCTTAAGAGAGACATAAGGGGGACCAGAAAGTGGGTTGTCCCCTTTTCCCAATTTGAGGTCCAGAGTTTTCTGTAGTTCCTGTTCATCAAACACTGTTCTGCCTTAGCCAATTCTTCCATCAATTTCTCTGCTTTCTGTATGTGGAAATCTTTGGTGTTACTTAGCCCCACTTAAGTGGCTCACTCAAGAACTAGGTGATGGATCTTTGCATACGATACATGTGGATATGGAGCTCAATGTTACTGGCAAACCCAATACCCCTGGTTCTATAAGACAGCACTTCTATTATATGTGCCAAAGACTACTAACAACCAACAGGGTTCATGGATGGACTTCTGTGGAGCACATGAGCTCTATGAAATTATATGCAAGTTGTGTATGTATGCTTTTATGGTGTGATCTGCATCACCAACTGTTAGTTGAGTTTCCTGTATATTGATCACAATCTTGTTTTTTTGTGTAGTGGGCTAAATCTTTTCAAGGAAACTTGGAAGGGGAAGACATTTTGTCATTCTCATTCTCTGTAAGATGTGTGTGACTGACTTTCTCTTATAGAGGCTCTGAGACACTTTGTCATGTACTATCTGACACACATATTAGGAGCTTAATAAATATCAGCTAACTATTAAGGGGTAGAGCTAATGACAGAATTCAAATCTCCTGATTCTTACTCTAGTACTCTACTCATCCTGTAAGCAAAGCCCAGGGAGTTACAGAGAGGCCTCTAAATGTTAGTCCTCTTGAGGCTGCAATGAATGAAAACCAAATTTTAGGCAACCTGGGGGAAATCTTGTCTGTTGTAGAATCTGCTTGGAAATAATGGGCAGGGCAGACTTTCTGAGAGCACAAAATGTAAAGCATCCAATTACAAAAGGATGTCATACTGCAAAACAGAGCCAGATAGCTAAAAGGAGTCAGCACAAACAGTTCTGGGATGACTACATCATAATATGAATGTATTTATATGCAGAATGATTAAACTCATCTGATGGTCTTGGAGGATCACATTTGAATGTCATGTAATGGCTGCCAAGCAAGTATAGAGATCAGTAACATTAAACTTTCTCCTTTTTATATTGTCTGTTTCATCTACAAAATAATATATTAGACTAACATTTAAAATCATTTGGTATAAATATATATGGGGAAAATACTGACATTTACTCAAACCTGTTTCTTCATAGCCTACCCAAAGTTAACCACTGCTAGAAATTTTGTGATTAGACTTATAATTCATTTAATGTGCATTTAAGTACATTATAGATGGCTTTTTGTTGTTAATACACCTTATTGTCTCATAGTTCTGTAACTTACTATTGTTTCACTTACTTTATGGCTTAGAGTTATATTGATGTCAGTACATAGAAATATATCTTATTCTTTTTGAATGCTGCAGAGTATTCAAGGATGTACCATAAATATGGTCAGTCCTTTATGGATATTTTCTGTATTTCTAATTACATAGTAATATAAAAGCAAAGCTGCAATGAACATCCTTCTGTCTCTTTGTCCATATATGCAAGTATTTCTGTGGAGGAAAAGTAGATTCATGAGCCACAGAGTATGAATATTTTTCTTTTTTATAGATATTTCCAAATTGCCCACCAAAAGCTGTATCAGTTTCTACTCCTGCCAATAATGGATGAAAATTGTATTAGACCTGTTGAGGAAAATCATAATTTTCAAATTATTGACAATTATATTTATATGTGTATGGATCTGTCATGTGTCTGAAATGTCAATAAATCTCCCAGTAACACATAATTCTCTATAAATACAAGATACAATCCTTCATAAAAGTATACCATTTTAGAGCTATAAGGGACCCCAAAACCTCATCAAAATTGTACTTTGCCTGCATATAATAGAAAAAAGCTAAATTCTGGATCACGATAGCTCATACCATTAACAATCTCAGAGAGTGATCCTAAAAGCACAAAATAGTTAAATAAGCCACTAAATAAATTCTGTTGTATCATTTATAGGGCATAAAATACTTACACCACAGAGAATTTGTTCATGGGAGACTAAAATCTTGGAACTGTGTGGTAGATGGGCGTTTTGTACTAAAAATGACAGGTTATGGCTTTAATGACATCTTAGAAATGCTAAGACCCTCCGAAGAGGAACCTTCTGCAGAAGATAAGCAATGAATTGTACCCTTTGATGCATACAAGGTAATGCTAAAGTTCAAATAAAAATATCCACTGAATTAAAGCCTCAGGCCGATTTCAACTCCCGACTTTTGTTGAAAATCCAGCCTCATTTCCAAGCCAGGGGACTTGAATGAAGTCTGCATGCTGTAACTTCAGCCCAGCCTATACTTCTGAACAAAGCCAGTGAAATAATGTTCAGTTCCTGCTGTGGTAGGATTAGGCTGCATTGTTTAGTGATCCCAGCAGTCCCTGGAGAATCTTGCCAAGTGCTAGGCACACAGTAGGTGCTCAATAAATACTTGTCAGATTGAATAGAGGGTAATTGGGAAGCTGGACTCCCACAAAGCACATTCTAGAATGGGATGTCACTAAAGCATACCAGTGCTGTGTCTGTCAGAGAGGAAGAAGCAAGGAGGGGATCCCAGCAAATAAATGCTCTATGAGTGGGAGGGCTTCAGATAGAACCACAGCCTTCTAATATATAAGTAGGCGTGCCTGTGATATCTATTTTAAGTTTTTGTCTTCTGTCTAATGTATCATTAGCAGCACTAAGCAATGTCAGTAGAAGTCACAACAGATCAAAGAAATAGGAGAAATCTGAGGTGAGGAGTAGGTGAGAACCAGAGGAGACAACTGACAGAAAAGAAGGAGAAAGAAAGAGAAAGTAGGAAAAGAAGGATGGACAGAGTTAAAAACATGCAGAAAACTTGGGCATTAAAAATTTTAATGTTGTTAGGATGAGGAGGAGAGATAGTAACACAAAAACACAGAGAAATAGACACTCCCCAAAAGGCAAAGATAGAAAATTACAATGTATGTTCATATTCTTAAGAGTATTTTTTGGCATTTTAAGTTGTATAACTGCTGACTTACTACCCAGGAGAAAAAAGATGAAAGGCACAGAGAGAGAGAAAGACACGTGCACAGGTAGAGATAGGCAATCTAGACATCACTGGCATTATCTTTGACTTCCAGGATTTGTGGAATACTAAGCTTTAGCAAGTTATCTAGTCCAACTCTTTCATTTTACAGATGACACAATTGAGGGTTCATGATTTTCTCAAATCTTGAAGGTTCTTAGCAATAGTTCTAGGACTTCCATTCAGGTCTTCTGAAGCCTATCTTTTACAATGAACCAAACAAAACTTTATAATTTCCTCTTTGGCCATTCATGCATTAGAAGAGTTAAAACTCCTGATAATCACAATGAAAGACTGACATTGCCATTCTCTCTTCTTCTTTGTGAGTCTCTTCTTGTTCCTGACTTAGGTGTGTGGTTATTATTTGGCTAGTTCTAATGTGAAACATTGGAGTAGTTTCCTTGTGTTCGCTTTAGGATAGAGGTGTCAAATACTTAGCACTCTGTCAAAATTAGTCATATATGAAAGATAAAGTGCTATACCTACCTTCTCAGAGTTCCATTTAATTCACAGACTGGCAACTTTCAAACTTATGGATATCTGGTCATAGAGGAGTAAGGCATACCTGCAGTGTGTATGTGTGTGTGTGTGTGTGTGTGTGGGAGAGAGAGAGAGAGAGAGAGAGAGAGAGAGAGAGACTTTTTTTCTGCTTATATTTCCCTCTCCAAATTGCAGTTTCTTCACACATTGCTGCGAGAGGGCACTCTTTAAACTCCAAATCTGATTATGTTATAGCTATGCCTAAATCCACTGTATGGCTTCCTATTGCTGTTGGGATAATGTTCCCATTCTTTTATATGGCTTAAGAGTCCTGCATGGTCTGGATCTTGCTGAAGTCTCATGCTTAACCTTTCCTTCCCTGTCAATACATTCCAGCCACACTGAACTTTTTCCAGTTGTGTCTCTACATCTGACTTTCTACTTCTAGACTTCACACATGCTGTGCCCACTGCCTGAGACACTCTTCTCTCCCACTCTGTCATGCACTCACCTGGATCTGACTAAATGCCACTCTTCCTGTAGAATTCAAGTACCACTATAGGGAGAAGTTTTCCATGCCTCATCACACTTTGTAAGTTGCCCTCTTCATGATCTTTAGGGCCCCCAAATTTTCTAACCACACTTTGTTAGAAAATAACTAATTGAATCAACTTTCTTCTACCTGCACCCAAACTATAAGCTCTGTGAAGGCAGGAGATAGGTTTGCCTCTGTCAGTACCTTTATAGTACCTGGAAGAATAAATAGCTGTTGAATGAATTAATTAATGAAATAAAATGAAATGACAGATCTTAGTTCCCTGCCTTAAATGACAAGGTTAATGGAGTCTTATAATTGGAAAGCCTTTGGAAGTCATCTAGCTCAAATTTCATTTTATAGATGGAAATATTGAGACTTGGAAAGGTAAACTAATTGGTGACTAAGCTGAGATTTTGAACTCAGGTCTCTTGACTTCTAGTTCTGTGTTTTTTATGCTAAACAATCTTGGTTCTCTCAGACTGATTTTATTACCACAGCAAGGCTCTGAATTAGTACTGGCTCTACTTGGTACAAAACAAGCCAAAGTTATTTTTCTAGTTTTCCTGAGAGTTCAAGTCTAATGGCTAGAGCTAGTGGCTCTTATTTGGTTCTGGAAATGGGGATGAGGAAATGGTGTTAGATTGTAAGTGTATTCATTACTGGTCATTTTCAATATACAAGTAATAGTGCAGATAAAGCCTCATTTTAGCCATTAACAACACACATGTCAGTGCTCTCTGAAAATACTATTTGGTGATGATTGTATTTAATCACCCAGCTTTTATAAGAGTTTTGTCCTCCTTTCCCTTCTTGTGCTTATAAAAGTACAAAGAGAGAAGATGCCAGGAAGAAGCAGCCATGTACGATTTTCCATGCTCGGAAATATCCAACGTTGCCCTCCCCACCTAAAAACATGTTGCTTGAAATCCCACAGTTAGAAATGTATTCCTTTGATTAAAGTAGCATTCAGTTTTATTTGTACATATCAGTCCTCAAAAGGCAGGGAGGCAAGAAGGCAAACCCAGTATACTGAATGTGTTTGAGAGGTTTATTGTGGTGGGCAGGTGGTAGGTAGGAAAGCAAAAGGGCTGGTGGAGATACAAAACCTGAATGGCAAAGAGAGAATATGGGTATGTGGTAAGGAATGAGGCTGGAATATCTTGTTCCTTCATTTTGATTAGGGTTGGCTGAAAGCAAGAGTTTCCACAGTGGGTTTCTCTTTCCTGGATTTCACTAAAACAACAAAATAATCTCTTGCCTTTACTCACCTTCTTGCTTCATAGAGATTTGTTCCTTTGGACTACCTCCCTAAGACCACAAATTTAACAAAATGAAAACTTAGGGTCTTGACATTTTTCTCTTTACACATCCAATCAGGCATTCTTCTCCAATCTCCCAATCTCTGGTTGTTGACCTGCAGTTTGTTCCAAAGCATAGTAAGCCTATCCGCAGCCCTGTCACTTCTCCATTGTAGCCTTCCAATGTATCTTGTTCCCCATCCTGCTGCTCTCACCCCACCCCCATTCAGGCCCCATTCACCTCTGTGCAGGCTCCTACTGCAATAATTTTTTATCTGGCCTCCCTGATTCCAGCCTCTCTTCTTCAAGCCAGCTTGTGAGGGTTACCAGATTAATCTTTCCGAACACGGCTTTCATCAAATCCCTCTCCAGCTCTAGCACCCCTACTGCCTTTTGTATTTATTCCAAATGCCTTCATTTGGCTCTCAGGGCCTCTCACCTTCTGCCCCTATTCTTCCAGCCACCCTCCCTCCCCCACTTCATCAACCCTATTTCTCTTTTCTCATTATTCCTTAACAGAGCCCTTCTCTTCAGCCAAGCTAATCTTCTTACCACCCTCCAACCACCCGCAATTTGCTCCTTTCTGCCTCTTGTTCTTGTGCACATACTGTTCTTTCTCCCTGCAAACTCCCCTCTCAGCTCCAGAAAGCTGCATCCTTGACCTTCTTAGCAAAAGCATTTAAGATTTAACTTTTCCAGGAAGCCTTCCTGGATTAATTTGGTCTATTCAGTTTTCATTAGTGTGAACTTGATGAAATTGACAATATTCAACTATTTCAATCCACAGAAATTACAATTTTATGTGATTTAACCCTAAAGCATACCTCCCAACTTTGACTACTCTTTTTATATTATCAGATTATATTCCTTTATATATTTATTCAAATAAAAATTGTTGGACTAACATAAACTCTGAAAGCAGTGGTAATCTTTTGTCCTCATGGGGTCTGAAATGCAGCAAGAAACTCAGTGGGCATTCAAATTTGGCTGTTAATAGATTCATTTCCCTGTACCATATAGTAGCCTCCACCATTATCTCTCTTTTATTGCAGTTAGGGGTGCACATGGGTGTCTTGCTCAGTGACCTGGGAACTCTTTGAGGGCAAAGAAGAGGGCTGATTCATCTGTGATACTGTCCCTGTACCTAATTGTGCCTGGCACATGGTAGACCCTCAATAAATATTTGCAGACCTGAGTACAACTGCTGCACCTTTTGCTCTACAAGGAACAGAATAGTCCTGAAGACACTCTAATCTTTTTAGAGAAGACCTGGAGAAAACAACTTGTGAATCCCTGAGCCCCAGCACAATCAAATTACCAGACACATATAGATCTTAGCAAACAGCAAATCCATGGCAACCAGTCTGGCAGTGCACTTGTCTTTCCCTGAAAACCTGCCAACTGCTACTTGAAAGCTCAAGAGAGCAAGAAAACAAGTGTCAGATAGTGTCTCTACTTCAAGCTTCTTGTCTTCCCCACATCTCTGTTGTGTCTGCTTGCATGGCCCTGGGATACTGAGAGTAGTATGTTTTCTCTGTGTATAATTCTTTAGAATAGTAGACTCAGAACCAGCACGGGGGGGGTAGCATGCCATTCTGTCTAATAAAAATATAAAGTAGTCAATAACACAGCATCTTCAGAGCCCAAGGGCATTGCAGATGTCAGTTAGTCCTCTATGCATTCATTCCATAATGCTTTCTTTACAGAGTTGCTTTGGACAGCCCCTGAATTGTTGAGAGCCCCAAGGGGCAGCAGATTAGGTTCTTCTGCAGGAGACATCTATAGTTTTGCCATTATCATCCAAGAAGTGATGGTCTGAGGCACCCCATTCTGCATGATGGATCTGCCTGCCAAAGGTAAGCAGACGGTGAGAAAAATGTCACTAGAAGTCCCACTGTTACCCAGGCCAAGCCAGGCCATCGTGATTTGCTAAAAGAGTATTTGTGCTAACAGCCTGCTAGTCTGCAAGCATCCAGTGTTATATTCAGGTGAGACACAGAGTCAGACAGCTTTAGGGATCTGAAAGAAATTCCAGCACTCAGGAAGCTGGTTCTTTTTCAAATGTGACATAATCTAAGCACCTACAAGACCTATGTCAAGCCTTTTGTACATTTTTTACAACCTACTCTTTTGAGATACCTTTTGCTCAGTATTTCAGTACCCTTTTCCTGAATATCAGTCTTTCCCTGTGACATGTTACAAGTTTTCATCCCCATCTCCCATCAAAACACATGGATATCAGGCAGGATACATGAATGGATGGTAAAACAGTGGGGAAAAATTTTAGGGGAAACAAGATATCTCCATGCACTCAAAATGTGAACCCACAAGATAGAAATCACAAATGGAAAACTTGTAACTGTATAAGTAGAAGATCTTGCAGACAGAACCTTAACCCAATGATCAAAGGTGCCATTAACAATAGGTACAATTGACACTATGCTCTAAGGGCACAATGTAGATTCTGTGGTATTTTTGCAAAAAATGTGCATAACTGCAGTCTAATCATGAGAAACTTCAGACAGACTCTGGTTAAGAGACATTCTAGAAAATACCTGGCCAGTACTCTTTGAAAGTTTATACAGTAAGTCACAAAAGACAGGAAAAAGATGAACTGTGGCAGATTTTGAAAAGATGAAGACACAACAATTAGATGCATTCAATCTTCAGCTCCATAAAACCCAACAACAAAACAGTTCCATGTAGGATGAGATCTGGAATTGGACTGTAGATCAGAAAAAAGACATTAGGTGAAAACAGATGAAATTCAAATAAGGACTCCAGTAATAATAGTATCATACAAATGCTAATTTTCTTTGTACTATGATTTTAAAAGTTATTAACATTAGGATAAACTGAGTGAAGGGTATAAAGGCAATCATTGTACTATCTTCACAACTTTTCTGGAAGTCCAAATTTATTTCAAACTAAAGCTTTTAAAAGAAAAAAAATCCCATTTAGCTATACTTTGCCATATATGAAGTCTCACATCACTCCTTTACTTAAACAGTCCTCCATTGCTCCCTATCACTTGTTAAATGAAGCCCAGGCTCCTTACATGACATATAAGGCCTTTTGCAATCTATCCACTTTCCACTTCTTTAGGTTTGTCTTCTGTCACTCTCCATACTCTAACTAAACCACATGCTTGGCAGTACCCTGAAAGTGTTTCTCCCATGGTTTCTCCCACTTTAGTGCCTTTGCATGCGCTGTTCATCATAGATGGAATTTTCCAATCTTCTCCCCATCTTGTCTTGTCTACCTCCTGTTAATTGCTCTAGGAAGGTTTCTTTGACTTCTTCACTATGGAGCCAATACCCTCTCTGTGTTTACCTGTACCTATCTCTGCTAAAGCATGTGTATTGTTTATCTCAATTGGATTGTGAAATTCTCAAGGGCATGAATCATTCTGGCCCTAAAAAAAGAGGTGACCTATTCAACTGGATGATGTTCTGAGAAAGGGACGACTCCTTCTGCCCGGAAATGAATGGAGCAGTCTCATTCCAGGTGGTTCATTCCCACAAAGTCTATTATACTGAGAGCAGAATGTTGCAATGGAGCTGCTCTTGGTTAAAGGAGCATAAGGTGTGATTTTACAAAGAGCTGAGAAGTCAGAGGCAACAGCTGAACTTCTTCAGAGGCAGGGGCACATATTAGGGTATGGAGTAGCACTGTTAGAATGTAGCAGGCAATGCAAACGTGGGGAGGACATGCTGGTGTGGCAAGCAAAAGTTTGTTCATAGTGTGGAGGTTAAAAGTTGGGGTAGCAGGGAGAGGACTAGGGATGAGAAATGAGTTTGAAAAGATAGTCAGGGGCCATGTTAAAGAGCTTGGATTTTATTTTGTGGGTAATGAGAGCCATGAAAGGATTTCTAGCAAGATAGTGACATGGCCATATTTGTGTTTTAGGAGTGGTTTGGAAAAGTCAAGACTGGAACCAGAGAGATCTCTTTGAGGCCCAGTGTGGGTTGAGGGCTAATTATTTTCTCTTAATGCCAGGGAGTTTTCTTCCTTTATAAAATGGTCTGGACCTTTGGTCCCTAATGGCTTTTGAGTCTAAATAGGAAAGTAGTTGAGGTCTGAGATGTTTGGAAATAAGAAAATTGGGGTAAATTATGATTGTCTGGGTTCCAATTTGAACTCTGTCACTAGCTATGTGACTTTGGGCAAGTTACATACTCCCCAGCTTCAGTTTCTCAATATGTAAAATTAAAATAAATGTGCTTACCTCATCTGTTTATGGTGAAAATCCTAAGAAATAATGCGTGCAAAGTACTCAGCTCATAGTCTGATATATAGTCTATGTTCCACTGAAAGTGGGGTTCGTTGACCAGCAACAAAAAAAGACTCTAACTAAACTAGTTACTGCCGTTCTCAATACCCTTTGCTTAGAGACCAATCAGAGCCCAAAGCCTGGGTGTGAGATAGGCCTGGAACAGCAGGTAGCCCTAACTGGGTTTATTGTGGAGAAGAGAGTAGGTCATTGAAGTTACATTGTTAGAATAGACATCAGATAAGATGCATGTACAACCTAGCAGAAACAGGATAAAACTGCCTGAAATATACCAATAGTTCAATTGACTAATTTATCACTCCCTTTCCAAAGATCTGATATAGGATTTGCTCAGATATGATCAATATTCAAGCTACCCAAGGAGAAAACAAAAGAGTCCTATGCTTCCTCCTGAGCAATTCCTTTCTTGGCAAAACCTGAGCTACCTTTGCTGAATCTTGGTGCTTTGATTTATAAACCTTTCTCATCTTGTATGTGAGCAGAAATCATAAAGAAGCTTAAGAAGCCTCCTCCTGTATACAGACCAGTGGTTTCTCCTGAGTATGCCCCTTCAGAATGTCTGCAGCTGATGAAGCAGTGCTGGGCTGAGGCTGCAGAACAAGGGCCAACTTTTGATGACATATTTAATCAGGTAAAGACTCTATGAATCTTATCACTACCAGAAGCCAACCTCAAGCCAGCTTATCCAAGGCTAATTCATTGGGCCTTTATCAGGAACTCCTTGCAAGGGAAAGGAACACTCCCTTTGAGGAAACCACCTGTGGTGTGGCTGCTCTGAAGAATTTGGTGGTAAGGCATCACCTCCAAAAGCCCAAGGGTTGGTTATTGTGATCTTCTGTGTCTGAATCTCTGTCCCAGGCTATCCACAATCTGGCCTAAACAACCTTTCAATGATGGAAGTGAATCACCAGGAATCTGCAAGGTTTGGGATTAGGACTGCTAGAGAATGAGTATCTGGAATAGATGGGGCTCCTCACAGAATCATGTTTGCTTTGTAGGTCCCAAGGAATTCTGATGAGTATACCATTTATATGATTTCATATTGTTTTTGGAGGGTCAGGAGAAAGATGTGGTATTCGAAAAGGTATTCAAAAGGGATAAAAGTGTAAATGTGGAATGCAAAAGTAGGAGATTCCTTTGGTTCCAAGGGAACTACTTGAGGAAAGAGGTATGTGAAAGCTATAAGCCCCTCTTTTTAAGATATTAAATTTCTAAAGTGGTTGATACTTTCCCAAAAGGAGAGGATGGGATGAAGGAAAAGACAGACTGAGCACTGCTAGGAAAGCTAAAGTTCAGGTCTTCTGTTGGAGCATGCAGTTTAGAGCTTTGTTGAAATTACAAGATACTAAAACTGATGGTCTTCTCCAGGAGTGTCCTATCAGCCCTGAAAAAGAGGCTTTTAGAGCCTGGCTAGAGTACAGCACTGAGATGCTTTATGAGTGGTAAGTTTTTGAGGCAGAAGGAGACAGGAATTGGATTGGAAGCCTGAGTGGTCCTGTTTATGAAGTCATGCATGTCCTCAGTTAACAATGGCTCCATTAGCCCAGGTGAGTTTCTTGAGGATACTCAAACAGGTATTCGATAGTATGGAAAAAGCAAAAGAACATAAATGTCAAATTTCTAAAAAATAAAGATGAGACAAGACAAAACATATTTGCCCTTGTGCTAATGCTAGAGATGTTATTTCAGAAAGCAGCAGAAAAGCCAGTGATGGATAGGAGAATTATATACCATTCAACTTTCAAATAAGACATTGCTGAAGCTACCCTCACTAAAATGCTTCAGTGGAAGTTTAGCCTATCTGATGACGAGGCTATCTTCCCAACATTGTGCAATCAATATCACTTTAATGAAAAGAGAAGTAAGTTCCCTAAATTAGGCAATAGAAGCCCATAGGATCTGATCTGGCTGCTGACATTACCTTCAATACCTTGGTAGTCATACAGATGTGGACTAGGCTCAGAAGGAAACTCCTAATGTTCACCGTGGAGCATTAGGTACCACACAAAGTGTGAGTGGCCTAGCTGTATAAGAAAGTACTTTGCATAGAGACCTGGAAATTAGCTCAGCAAAACTACCTCTAGTTTTTTATTGTGAACACAGCCACGTGCTTTCTGAATATAACAGCTTGGAAGGGGCTACCCATTATGATTTTAATACTATGCCAAGGTCCTTGAAATTGATAAGGTCCTAAAAGGTGTACTAAAATTTTGTGGCCTGTAGCCACCACTCAGCAATAAGGTATAGGATGAATAGAGACCTGTTGAATTTTTACATGTCTCTGAATGACATAAAGGGCAGGTGTTAAGAGACATTATTATTCTTAGACCCTATGGTAAAAAATCAGGGTAGATCTTAACATACAAACCTTCAGCTTCTTCTAGTCATCAAAGAAACTCTTACTGTCTGAGAAGTGGCATCATAGTAGCTTTGAGAACAAGGAAATATTCACTGTCCCAAGAACTGACATCATAGTAGCTTTGAGAATAAGGATAATTTAGTATGCCAGTGATCTAGAGGGGTAGATCACTTTCTGCCCTCTTTCCCCTTACCTCACTGGCACCACATCTGGTCTCAAGACCAAATCCTGTTGCTGTTGAAGTGGTTACTATTCTTGTGACATCATTTCAGAATTAAAAGGGCTTGCCCAGAGCATCTTTGCTCAGAACCAGAAGAACAGGGAAAGAGCTACTTGGGGATGGGGAAAGAGTCCTGTGAATGGGCTAGGGTGGCAATAAAGGTGGTTGATGTCTTTTCCTCTTCACAGCTGAACTCATCTCTCTTCCCCTGACATTTTCAGAGGAAAAGATTTGTGATAAGGAGTCCTGCATCATCTGAGTTCCAGGAGTCAGCATTCCCTGGTTACTTTTTCTGTTTTTGCTTCTAGTTTAAAACTTTCAATAAAGGGAAGAATACTAATGTCATTGATTCTATGCTTCAGATGTTGGAGCAATATTCTAGCAACTTGGAAGATTTGATCCAGGAGTGGACTGAAGAGCTAGAAATTGAAAAACAGAAAACAGAAAAGCTTCTAACACAGATGCTACCGCCATATGTGCGAACACCCGAGGAGTGTGAATCCTTTTAATAGTGTGTCCTATTTAAAAAGAACAGAAATTACCCATCAACTAACTTCTCCCTCTCCCTGTTTGGCACCCTTTCTATTCCTAGTGGGTTTGAATCACACTTTCAAATCAAGGTAGAATTGGAAAACAAGGGAGCAAAGCACACATCCTAATTTTCCACTGCCTGCAGATTATGCTGGTCATTTAAGTTTGTGATACCTGTTTTTCTATATGTTACTTTGTGACTTTGTCAAAAGGATGATTTAAAAAAGGCATCTTTTTGAGCTCCTAGAGGAAAGTGGCAGGGTTGTTTTTCCAGTTGTTTTTTTTTTCCTCCCAGATAAGTTGAAAACCTTTTCTGTTGCTTCAATTTCCAAATTTTCCCAAGCACTTTATCATTTATAACATGATCTTCTAGGAGAAAATTTGAGACTATTCATCTCATGAAAAGGCAACCACCTGAGAACATTCAGAGGGGTTGGGGAGGGTATTGAAGTAGAAGTATTGAGAACTGAAAAAAAAAACCCACTAAGGCACAGAAGAATCTGCCTGTTCAGTGCTATATTCCAGCATCCAGCACAATGCCTGGCACATTGTAAGCACTCAGTATATATTTGTAGAATAAGTGTATATGGTAATATTTTTATCCAAGTGACTGTTTCTTTCTGATCATTTACTTAGCAGTGTTTTCTGAAGAGGTTGTGTTTTAACAGGTTTACGTAGCATAGAGGGAGTCTAGTGTCTTCTTAGGAACTGTCTATGTCTGCTTTTCAGATCAGTTGCTGAATCCCTCAAAAAGGGCTGCACAGTTGAACCTGAAGGCTTTGACTTGGTCACATTATACTTCAGTGACATTGTGGGCTTCACCACCATCTCAGCCTTGAGTGAGCCTATTGAGGTAGTTGATCTTCTAAACGAAATCTACACACTCTTTGATGCAATCATTGGCAGTCATGATGTCTACAAGGTATGTTAATTAGAAAAGAAATACATTTCAGAGTGAAATTTTTGTATGTGACTCTTCTATGTATATTTTAAACTTGAAGGATGCAGTTTTATAGAATGTTGTTATTTAGGAATGAAACTATAAGCAGTACACCCCTTCCATTGGTATCCCATTGAAAATGAAGGCTAGATAGAATGCATATCATTTCGCATTGTACAGAATAACAACTCTCAACCTAGCAAGAGATTTTCAGATGGGTTCCTTTGGAACTATTTTTTAGAATTGGCACTAAGAAGAAGTTGAGTCCGAGAAAGTTATTGCAATTAAGTGGCTGAGTTCCCACAGTGTAGCAGCATTGCTTTAGGCATCGAGGAGGACACAGAACTATTGGTGTTTTGCCTGTAGTTGTTGGCTGCTACTGAGATCATCTTGGTAAAATTTGTGTAGATCTAATGCCTGGTATGAAAATTTGATCCCCCTTTAAATATTGTTCTTATATAGGAAAGGACTTGGCTTTATACCAGAAAGCTATTAGACTTGAGGCTCTTTGGAACTTTTACAGGGTAACCGAAAGCCCACATATTGGTCAGTAGCCTGGGGAAGTGATTAATCATGAGGATACAAGCCCTTGCTTCTACCTTCTCTTAAGCCTTCAGCCTACCAGTTTCTACTCTTTCTGTCAAAGGTTACAGATGAGTGGAGAACAGATGACTACATTCACTCATTTGGTGCCATGCTTCCTTACTCTTGTTTTCATTTGTTGTTTCTAGGCAGAAAATGAGTAAAAGTCTCATAGCTATGCAGGGGTATTTCTATGTGGTCTGCAACATGGATACTTGTCTTATTGATGGAGAAAGAGGCCCCAGGCATCTCAAGGTTTAGACAGCTCCTCTGTCCCAGGAATCAAGGTAGAGCTGAAGAAAGAATAGCTCCATTCATTGAATCCAGTTTGAAATGTTCCAGCTCTCAAATCACACACAAGGCAGTGTGTTTATCTCAGATTAGACAGGGCCCTTTCAGGTCAGGTAGAAAGCCTCAGGCCTAGACCAAGCTACCTAAATAGGGCTCAGAAATAGACATCATACCTGCCAATCAGCAGGAGCTGCAAGCTAATCAAGAAGCACGTATTGAAACCACAGTGAAGGAAAAAATCCATGGAATCAGGCTACCTATCTTAACTTGTTGACCTTAAGCAGCCTGAAGAGAAAAACAAATCACTGAAAAATAATTCAGTTGAAACTAAAATCAAAGATGATTCAGCATGTAACACAATCACTGGTTTAATAAATCCAGCTGATTCTGTTCAGACAACTGTTGGGGGTCTTAAGAGTGAGGCCATTAGCTATTTTTAGTCCTCTGTGGCTGTAGTAGGGAGCTATTGGGCTGTTCCCAAGAGAGAGCAGGGCTATATCAATCCAAAAGTGGAATTTAATTTTCAGTCCTGTTTATTTAAAAAAAAGACTGCAAAAGAAATAAAAATTGAACTAGCAGTGAATCACCAAACTTCTTTGTATTTATTTTCATTTCTTACCTGTAAAATTGGAATCACTTACCCAACACTTAATAATCTAACATGGAAGTGAGAAGGCTACTGCACAATCGTGAAGTTGGTGATTTGTTTTCACTTTCAGTTCTCCTACAACCACCCCATTTCAACCAGACCCTTTTCTGTACCTTCTCTTCCCTTTCAGTGTTCTTATGCTGGCTGATACAACCCCTAATTTCCCATCACAATCTTCATGTCCAGGCTCTCTGGTCTTTTAAACTCCTCACCCATATCCTTGGAGCCTCCCAGGTGACTGACTTATCAAAGCTGCAGAGTCAACTATCAGAATGTAATTGCCAGGCTTTGAATTTCCACTCTTATATAACAGCTGCATTATAATTCTTCCTTCCTCTGTGGAGGTAAGCATGCTTATATGAGAGAAGAAATACTCTTGTCAAACTGTAGCAGATTAGGGAAACCCTGGAGGGAACCATGGTGAGATACAAAGTTCTATAGGTGCAAACCATCTTTGTTATTGGCTATATAGGAAGTCACGAGGCAGGGCCTATTATTGATTGTTAAGCATTTTCGTTTGGAGCTGAATTATAGCTACAGTCCAAAGGCTGGTTTTCAAATCATACTCATTTGGTGATGATGATGGCAATGGCTTACACTTAATATATATTATCATGTTCCAGGCAGGTTTTAAGTGCTTTGAAGCATATAAGTTATTTGGTCCTTAGATAACTCTATGAAATAGCTACTGTCCATATCCCTATTCTGTAGATAAGGATTCTGAAGCATAGAGAGATTAAATGATTTGCCCCAGGATTGTAAGTTACGAATCTTGGATTTTAACCAAGGCAATATAACTTCATATTTTGGTAATATAACTTCAGAGATAGATGAACTTAACTATTGAATTCTGTGAGTATAATTGTCTAGGAAAACATGGATTTTAATTGGACTCAAATTTGTACCAATTCAGCCTAATATTTCATAGAAGTCCTTTTATCTTACTTATCTATTTGTCTCTCAAAGTACTTTTATTTTATTTTATTGCTTAAATTCTTTTATTGGTACATTTTGGGTATGCAATACATTTACATTTATCACTGGGTGCTTGTAACTGTACCTGATGTATCTTGGTTCTTATTTTTTCCCCATTCCCTGTGCTCCCTTCACCCCCTCAACCCTTCTCAATTTACAAAGACTTTGTTTCCATTTTTTCTCTTTTTTTAATTAAATTCTTTTATTGGTACATT